TGTTTTACATTTAGGCTGACCCCCTAAACACCAAGGCATTAGAGTCCTTTTGACTCAGAGTGACTGTGACTTCCTATTACATCAGGGTCAGAGTCCTTTTATTTTTATTTTGTTATCATATTCCTTTTACTGCAAGTTCACACCTTATGTATCCTATCTGTGTCTGTTTGCATCTATCAGTACTTTATTGTATTTTTCTACTTTCTACCCTTTTTTTTCTCATTCTGCTGCACACATGCTTCTTTCTACTTCTGTGTCATTATCTATGGTACTCCCATTTCCCAGGTTCTCTCTTCCCTTCTCTTTAAAGTTTACCCTTTTGAAAGCCAGTGTTACAGCATGTGGATGTCGTGCAGTCTTCTCTCCCTGGCCTGTCTTGTGTCCCCAGGTGTTTCATCTGGGTTGCTGCTTTCCCAGATGTCTCTCAGGAAAAGGACACTTCTGTCTCCCCAGAGTCCTCTTTGTTGATTGACTGGTGGTGGGGGCAGTGAACATTTACTGAGTACTTACCATGGGCCAGGCTTTGCATGCATTAACTCACCTAACCCTCATGACAGTCTTATAAGGTAGATTCTGTTCTTATTTCACTTAGGAAACTGATACACCCAGAGGCTAAGTGAGAGCAGGCATATGAGTCCACAGCCCAGACAGGCAGGCCCAGAGCATAGTATTTTTAACTGCACTGGACTGCCTGGTGTATTCAAGAGGAGTTATTTAAGGAGTGTATGATTCTTCTAACAACATTTATTTAAATTTAGAATGTGTATTCACGTTGTGATACAGAATTGACAATTCATTACACTATTATTAACAACGCATTAATCCCTTGTTAAATCTTTTCACAAGCTTATTGAATATCATTAATTAATTTTTATAGAGCTGATAAGTTTTAAGACTATTCTGAAAAATTACTGATATAACTAGTATTAAGTTACTTGCCCCCAAAATCATAGTTACTAGGGAAACAGAGGATGCTCCTGGTTAAGCTTCAGTACCACCAAGTCCTCATTTATGATGAGGTTTATGTTCCCAGGTTCATTGTAAGTTGGCTGTCTGGAACTTCGTTTCGATGGGAGAATATATTATATTAAACTTGGTGTTAGGATCTTAGGCCAGACACAGTGAAACATTTGATTTACACATACAGTGGTATTCTAATTTTGGGCCTGTAGGAATGAAAAGGGGTATTTGTTCACTGGCTGTCTCTGGCTCTATGTGGAACATGGTGTAACGATGTTCTTATGTTAACGTTAGTTCTTACCTGGACATCAGGCGAACATCAGCCTTCTATAGCAGTAGGCACAGGAGCTTCCTCCCCTCACCCCTTCCTGTCCCTACCCCTCTTGCCTTCAGCCTTACTGGAGGACTTCTTTGGCTGTAAACCACATATTGAGCAGGTTCCAGTCCTACCCTTTCTGTTTTCTGGTAATCCCAAATCACACCTGCTTGCTGCTTTTGGCACTGCTGTGCTCAGAGTGTGTGTGTGTGTGTGTGTGTGTGTGTGTGTGTGTGTAATCCCAAATCACACCTGCTTGCTGCTTTTGGCACTGCTGTGCTCAGTGTGTGTGTGTGTGTGTGTGTGTTTTCTCCAGTAGCTGGTAAAGCAGACAGCCCTGTTACCAGCTCGGCTCCGGGAGAAGTGGAGTCTCCTCACAACTCAGCAGCTCTCAGTGTGCCTCTTCCCGGCATGGCTTCTTCCTGCCCTCTGCTAGGGGTCACCACTTTTCCCTTACGATGATTTCCTCTTATGGAAATAATGTATTGCTTTTCCATATAATTTTATCATCTAATAATAGATCCCCAAACAAAGTTTACCTCCTTTTAAACTTTACATAAATGAAATCACATGGATTGTGTTCATTTGTATCTTCTTTCACTCAGTGTACTTTATTTATTTATTTATTTTTTTGAGACGAAGACTTGCCCAGGCTAGAGTTCAGTGGTGAAATCTTGGCTCACTGCAACCTCCAGATCCTGGTTCAAGCGGTTCTTCTGCCTTAGCCTCTTGAGTAGCTGGGATCACAGGCACCTGCCACTGTGCCCAGCTAATTTTTGTATTTTTGGTAGAGATGGGGTTTCACCATGTTGGCCAGGCTGGTCTTGAACTCCTGACCTCATGATCTACCCACCTTGGCCTCCCAAAGTGCTGGGATTACAGGCATGAGCCACCATGCCTGGCCTTTTTGCTCAGTGTATTTTAAGATTCATCCATGTTACCACATAGAGATGCCACCTCAGATTCATTTTTATTGCTGTATGGTATTCTATCATATTTGTTTGCTAGGGCTGCCATAACAAATACCAAAGGCTGAGTGGCTTAAACAACAGAATTTAATTTGTTCATAGTACTGGAAGCTAGAAGTACAAGATCAAGGTGTAGGCAGGGTGATTGCATTCTGAGGCCTCTCTTCTTGGCTTGTAGGTGGCCGTCTTGTCCCGGCGCCTTCACGTGGTCTTTCCCTTAGCGGTGTTCATGTCCTAATCTCTTCTTCTTACAAGGACACCAGTCATGCTGGATTAGAGTCCATATGGCCTTATTTTGTCTTAATTACCTCTCCTGTCTCCAAATACAGTCATGTTCTTAAGTACTGGGGGTTAGGAGCTGCATAAAAATTTTGAGAGACGTGGTTCAACCCATAACATCTATTATGTGATTATATTGAAATGTATCCATCATGTTATTTAGTGGACATTTTTATTTCTTGTTTTAGGCTGTGATGAACTGTGCTACTGTGAACATTTTCATACATGTGTAATAATAAGAATGCCAGAATGAAGCATTCCATCCTAGGAGTGAATTGCTAGGTTGTGCTGCAATATTAATAGATGAATTCAGTGTGTTTTCCAAAGTGCTTGTGTTGCAGGATCCTTGGTGGCACCATTGCTGGAGTTTTGCTTGAGCCCAGTGTTCACCCACTTGGCCTGGCAGGCTGTGCTCAGCTGGAGCTATTGACCCTGATCCCACGCCTGCCAAGGGTGAGCCAGGCACAGAGTGGTGAGGGGTGCATGAGCGAGCGAGCACCGTGGTCTGGCCACTGTGCACAGCCAGGCATGCTGGCTGTTGACTAGTCTTTTTCTTGCTGATTTTTAGGAATTCCTTAAATATTCTTGATATAAGTCTTTGGTTGCTTATATATGTTGCAAATATCTCTCAAACTCAGTAACTTACCTGTTTTCACTATGTTTACAGTATCTTTTAATGAATAGAAGTTTCTTATTTTAATGTGGTCAGTTTAGCCATCTTTTCCTAGTTTAGTTGATTTTTTGAATATATGTCTTGAGAATACTTCCCTGAGGTCATTCAGATATTCTGTGTTATCTGATAAAATACTTACAACTTTGCATTTAGGTGTAATATAGCTGGCACTGATTTTCGTGTACAGTATGAGGTAGGAACTGATTTCATTTTTTTCCCTGTGGATAGTCAGCTGTTCTTACATCATTAATTGAAAATCATTCCTTCCCCTCACTGCCTGAACCACCTCTGTCATAAATTCAGTGTCTGTAATGTATGCTTTTGTCTGCTGCTAGGCACCCCGTTCTGTACTATTGATCTATTTGTCTATTTCCACAAGAGTGTCACACTGCTTTGAGTCCTATACCTTTATAATAAGCCTTGAAATCTGATAGAGCAATTCTTTCCACTTTGCTGATGCTCTTCCAGAGCATCCTGGCTGTTCTTGGTTCTTTCCATTTCCATGAACATTTGGTATCTGCCCATTAATTTCTACAGATAGACTTTTTAGGAGGATCTTTATTGGAATGCTTTGGCTCTGTAAGATCAGTTGGGGCAGGACTGTCAATTAGATGAAGACAAAACAAAATGAACCAAAAAGTAAACACTGGGAAACTGTTTTAGATGAAAGAAGATGAATGAGACATGGTAACTGAATGCAATGTGTTGGTTTGTAAAAGTTACAAAGGCCTGGGACAAATGGGGAAACTTTGCTTTGAATTGTGTATTAGACACTAATGTACCAGTATTAAATCTCCTGATAAGGGTTAGAAATGTTGTGTCTACCTTTTTTCTTAGGAGATACATGCTGAGGAATTTAAGGTGAAGTGTTGTGATGCCTACAGCTGGTGCTCAGTTCAAAAAGTTGGGGGAGGAGAGGAGATGAGGAGGCAGCTAGAGTGATGGCCTAATGTTAGCAATTCACCAAATGTTAGCAATTGGTGAATCTCAGTGAAAGGTAAATGGGTATTCATTGATTTTTCTTTTCCTGTAGATTTAGCATTTTTCAAAGTAAAAGTAGAAGAAAATTAAATTTCATTTTGTATCTGACGAAATAGAGCGCCAGATAAACTAGTAATGCATTATCTTAGTGCGCTGTGCTAAGCAGATTTGCCACTAAAAGCACTAGTGAAATGGCAAACGTGATTGGTTATTTTTAAAATTCTGTAGTATGTTTGAACATACTCAGTTCACATTTAAATCATACTGGAACACCAAATGTCTGTGGGCTGGTGCTCCAAGTAAAAAATACATTAATGAGCTTTTTGTGCCAATTACTGATTTTCAGGAAATGTTCTTTACTAGTAAGAGTTCTGGAGATCCATGTCATACTAACAGGTGAGCAGAGTAATTCATAGGAGTTACACTTGATATGGTCTAATTTTGTAACACTAGTATTAGTGTTTGCTATTAGTATTTGCCACCAGTATTTTTCATGAGAAGCATTTCTGGTGCTTGAAAACTGATATTTATATTTTTCTTGAAGGATCTCAAATTCTTTGTTCTCATAGTAGGTAACTTCACAGTCTATAAAGAAAACCCAGATAGGTTTTTTTGGTCAATATTTAGTTACCGCAACAGAGGCACATAAGAAGTTAAATGATTCCGTAAGTCATGCAGTGATTGGTAATAATACTAATGGACACACAGTTATTGCTTCTTCTTTGCATTGGCCTCATTTTTTCCCTCTTTTGTTAATGTCATTTCTTAGCAAAATTATTTGTAAAGTAAAACATCTAACACCACCACCAAAATCTTGTAACAGCAAAAGGAAGAGCCGAGCTTCTGAAGATCAACCTTCGAGAGGTCGAATTAGATCCTGATATTCAACTGGAAGATATAGCCGAGAAGATTGAGGGCTATTCTGGTGCTGACATCACTAATGTTTGCAGGTATTTTTTTAATGATCTGTGATTTTAGACATTAGTTATAAAGTTGGCAGGAGGACCGCTCTTCAAGTCAGTGTAGTTTAGCCCAGTGTAGTTAGACATGAAAGCAGCTACCCATATTTTTGAAATGGTTTTCCATTTGTCCTTTTTTCCCATATAACTTTATTCCTCATTTTTGATCTTTCAATTTTTAAGAAATTGTGTCTAACTTGGTAATAATGACTTTGACAACCTAAGATTACTTTAGCTTTGTGTCAGAGCCTTTCTGCACCAACATAAAGTAATGTTTAGTCTCAGCTGGCATTATTTAAACAAATGCAGATGAGCAAAAATGATCAGTGTAAGCTGGAAAAATCTTTCCGTTCAGCAACATCATAATTTTTAGACAGTTCCTGTCACTCTGTGCTTTTTTTGCTTATTTTTCTAACTGTACTTCAATCGACTTTAATAGCCTTTCTTTAAAGCCATAGCATCTGTTTTTCTCACCTTTTCTGCTCGCATTTTTCCCATGTGCATCTAAGTTTAATGGCATACGATAAGCTCACAATAGTTCCTACTGCTATGATAGTAAAATATTTAAGAACTTGAAATTTTTTGTTGGCTTGGCCCTCCTAATAGCTTTTTTGTGATTATGAATTATCCTTTTCTTCCAGCCCTTCATATTTATTTATAGTTGATCCAAGAGAGCTGCAGATGGGATCGGGAGAAGCCAGAGTTTATGCCTTCAGTTGCCTACAAATACTCCATGTAGAGAATTCCATGTCCACTATATGTGGATATTCATGTTTCAGCGGGAGTGATTCCTGGCTTTATTCCTCTATTTAGGCTGTAGACAAACTGGTCTGTGGTTTGAATTATCTTAATATCAGCCATATGTTCACTTCTAAGTGTACAATTCAATATTTCAAAATTCGACTCCAGTTTCCTAAACTTCTTGGCTCACTTTGAGGAGCAAGTGGGGCAAGGAAAATTTAGTACTATTTGAGCTTAACCTAGACATTTAGGGTTCATTAGCTATGTACATTTTACATTTTCGGTTATTTGCATCCGGTTTTAACTTCTCCTGAACCCCCAGGATTTTTCTTAAGTGGAAAATTCTAAGCAGCATCATAAAAACTATAAAATAATCTTTTGATTGTTTTTTCATAACTTTGTTACAATTGAAAGTGTTTAAAACATTTGCAGAAATTACTGTTAACTGATATTGGTATATTTTAAGGGATGCCTCTTTAATGGCAATGAGACGGCGTATCAATGGCTTAAGTCCAGAAGAGATCCGTGCGCTTTCTAAAGAGGAGCTTCAGATGCCTGTTACCAAAGGAGACTTTGAATTGGCCCTTAAGAAAATTGCTAAGTCTGTCTCTGCTGCAGACTTGGAGAAGTATGAAAAATGGATGGTTGAATTTGGATCTGCTTGAATTTCTGTCAGCTCTTTAATTTCTGATATTTTTGTTTATGAAATGTTAAGAAATTCCTGCAATTTTTAAAAAACAGGTTTGGAATTTTTTTGAGTGGAATGGTTTTCACTTAAAGGAAAAAAGTCTAAACTGTAAAGAATACTAAATGTAGTTGAGAAATAGGAACATTTCATGGCGAGAGTTTGCTAGTCGCCCTCAGCTTTGTGCTGGTATTCCACATGTTCCTGCATTAATATTGCACACCCAAACCAATCTATCAGGGAGGCTGAAGAAAGGGAGCAGTGTGCTATTTTAAGAACTTGTTTACAGAAGATTTTAAAAGACCCCTATTTTTCATTTGCATTTGTCATTTTTTTTTCCAATTCTTTGCTCTGTCAACATGAGGGTCATATCTATATATGTTGACTTTAACATCAAAATTGGATTTGTGTCGAATTCATTATTTATTGTTAAGAGAATAAGGGCATATTTTGGCGGAAATAATGAATTTACTAGTTAAACCTTTAGAATTTATTGCTTACTGTTAGAGTCTGTCCTGTGGTTAGAATTTTTGCGTCCCCTCCCCCTGCCATTTCTTCTATTAGCCGTTTAAGAACGTCTTGAGCTTTATTCAGGAATATTCTCACGCTCTGTGGTATTTGATTCATTTTGCTGGGTTGTTTCTCTGTCTTTAGTATTTTTTGATGGTGCTTCTTAATATTGGAAATGTGGGAAGAATATTATTGCATTAGATGTAATTCTTCATTCTAGACTTCTCAGTTTATTTTCACTTTTTTTTTTTTTTTTTTNTTTGAGGCAGAGTCTTGCTCTGTCACCCAGGCTGTAGTGCAGTGGCATGATCTCAGCTCACTGCAACCTCCGCCTCCTAAATTCAAGCAATTCTCCTGCCTCAGCCTCCTGAGTAACTGGGACTATAGGCATACCACCACACCTGGCTATATTTTCACTTTTCTTTCAAAATATTAAAACAGATATATAGCCATTATTTTTCTCAGCTCCAACATTGTTTGCTTTTTGTTGAATTTGATTTTAGTATTTGAGATAAATACTTTGGCATTCTAAACAAGTCCACTCTCTGTGGCTAACACAAAACAAATAAAATCTTTATAGTTTTGCAGACAGCTAGTTTAACAAAACAGTATCATGCATAATGACTGATGTTCATTTGAAAATTTTAAAATTCGTCCTTGTCTAGGTTGAGAACTTTTACTGTAAGATAAGGATAGAAATCTGATGTGGTCACTCAGTTCAGCAGGAATTACACATTAGAAAGAAGCCAGAAAAAGTAAATGGCACGTATCGAATCGCAACTAAATGATCCTGGTGTTAATTTTTATGATTACATGTGTCTTATTAGGCAATTTATTGCTGTAATGGTCAAGCTTTTTAAAATTTATATTTGATAACATCCTGAATTCTCGGTTTTTAGTAGCACTTACTGGTTTAAAACTAAAAATAATACAGCTTTTTGGACACTTAAGCAAGATACTAAGAAAGATTTTTTTTTAAAGAGATTTGATTATTTTTTTTCCTGCTAAAAACTGTAAATGCCTTACGTTCTTTTCAGATAACTTAAGTCTGACTGTAAACTCCAATATTCATCTGAGGCTGTAAATTGCCCTTCTTTCTGAGACACAGATTATAAGATGCCAGATTATAAGGCATAATGATTTTATTGTAATTGAATTCTTCCTAAAAATTGACAGAAGTTTCCTTTTATTCATTAACATTTAAAATAAAGAAATAAGTAGTTCCATTAAGATTATTTTGCAAACTATTGCCATTCAGAAATGTACTTTCTTTTTCCCTGAAGTTTTAGGAGCCATCACCAAAACATTAGTCTTGTGATTGTTAAAACTTGTTTGCATGGGCAGGGTGCGGTGGCTCACCCTTGTAATCCCAGCACTTTGGGAGGCTGAGGCGGGCAGATCTTCCAAGGTCGGGAGATTGAGACCAGCCTGGCCAACATGGCAAAACACCGCCTCTACTAAAAATACAAAAATTAGCCAGGCATGGTGGTGTGTGCCTGTAATCCCAACTGCCAGGGAGGCTGAGGCAGGAAAATTGCTTGAACCCAGGAGGTAGAGGTTGCAGTGAGCTAAGATTATGCCACTGCACTCCAGCCTGGGCAACAGAGCAAGATTCCATCAAAAAAAAAAAAAAAAAAAAAAAAAGCTTGTTTGCATTAGTGCAAAAGTAATTGTGGTTTTTCCATTACTGTCAGTGGCAAAAACTGCAATTACTTTTGCACCAGCCTAACAATATTTTAGTTGATTAGTTAGACTTTTGCTGAGTTTTGTATTAAATATTTTGGTGTGCATTTAATTATTTTTCTGAATTCTTTATATAATGACATAGTAATTGTGATTCTTTTAATGCCAGTTAAGCAGTACTCAAACTTCCTGGAAGCTTAATTTTACTATGTTAAGTGAGTCTGGTGTGCTTTTTATTTACCTTGTTTCTCATTGTGCCCTATCAGTGAATGGTAAATGCTTTATATCTTAAATCCCTTAAAGGACCTTGAAGACATCCCTCAGGTGTTCTAACTTTTATTTTATTTTGTTTTGTTTTTTATTTTATTTTTTTGAAATGGAGTCTTGCTCTTGTCGCCCACGCTGGAGTGCAGTGGTGCGATTTCAGCTAATTTCCCAGGTTTAAGCCATTCTCCTGCCTCAGCCTCCTGAGTAGCTGGATTACAGTTGCCGCCACCATGCCTGCTTTTTTGTAATTTTAGTAGAGACGGAGTTTCACCATGTTGGCCAGGCTAATCTGTAACTCCTGGGATTACAGGCGTAAGCCACTGTTCCCAGCCCTAACTTTTAATGTACATAACACACAAACACACACACCCCTCCTAGGATTACACACACACACACACACACACACACACACACACACCCTCCTGGGATTAGACACACACACACATACACACACACCCCTCTCCGGGGATTACAGACATGAGCCACTGCGCCCAGCCCTAACGTTTAGTGTACATCACGCACACGCACACACACACACACACACACACACACACACACTGTCTTTATTGCAGAACACAGTGTGTTGCCTTACCCAGAATGAGATTGAGTTGTTTTGCTTCATTTTGTTTTGTTATTCTGTGTTGCAGTAGCAGATGCGTTATCAAAGGAGAAATATTTGACTCCTTTAATTCCTCCAAAACCAAAACAAAACATGAGTATTTTGAGTTCTGCAGCACAATGATTGTAGGACTAAGTTATGTATAAGTCTGCTTTGCAGATATCTGATCAGATAGCCCCTTAATTCTGTAGATGTGGGTTGATTGGTCCAAGACACAGTGGGTTGGGAGCTCTGTGGACCAGATAAAGCTGGACTAGAGAGTACCGTTCCAACTTGGCAGTTTCTCTAACGATTCTGTATGGCTTCTGGCCTCTACTGAAACAAGAGTTTAGATCACTAATGGAGAGGCATAGTAATCTGTGTGCTTTGGTAAAATAACATGTAAAATGGCTTTTCCCTCTTTTTTGCACTTTAAATCTGTTTTGAAATTAGAACTGATACCCATTTGTTTGAATAATGTATAACTATTTTAGATCTATTTTAATGAACAATTTTTATCATTTCCCAAGCTGCATATTTATTATAATCATGACATGTTTACTATGAATCTTTTGCCCCCATAATTTCTTTTTTTAAAGGAAATTAATATTAGTGAAATGTATCAAACAGCTCTTTAATGGAAGCTGCAACCTTCTGGTTACCCAAATAGGCAATAGATGATGGCATCACAGACTTTGTCTACACACTTTCAGGTCTGACCAGTACCTCCCACAATACCTAGCCATTTTGGAAGGGGAAGCATGCAATGAGCTAGCTGTATAGCTTGGGGCTTAATTTGAGCTTCTGAGATGACAATTTTTGTGATGTCATATTTCAGTCTCAAAACATAGGCTAAAAGCACTGATTACTCAAAAAGTAAGCAAACAAATACCTGGTGAATCTACTATGGACAGTCATACAGATACATCGGGGAAAATGTATGTGTACAGTCCAAATTTACAATATAATTGTCATTCCTTGACTTTGCCTTGTGTAGCTTCTGTTGAACATGAAATTATTAGTACTCTAGGTTTTGGATAGCCTGGGTTCATTTGAATTCCTTCCTTAGGAGTAAGCTTTTATATGCACTGCTAAATCTGTGATGAGAATCATAAAACAGTAACCAGCTGAGGTAGTTATGATTCACTTTCCCCCCACCCTAATTTGAGATGAAGTGAAGGACCTAGACAAGTATTTCATGTTGTGTGAGTGGACTTTGGTTCCTTCAGTATTGTCTTGGTTATTGAGTCTTTCTTTGCCAGTGGATTCCCACTCTTCGTTTTATCTTATTAGTGATAAATCACTTTAGGTATATTCTGTATGACAGCCATCAGATGTTAAGGGTGTATGCTGGCCTTTTCTAAGAAAAGGCCACCTTAACTTGTATGAGGAAAAAATCCTAACTGTTCTCTTTTTTGTATCTTTTTTTCCTTAACTATTTGGATTGTATATGTTTAAGAAACCACTTAATTTGTGATGCACATAATATTTATGTGAATTTAAGAATATGTCACAATAGAAAAAAGCAGAAATTATAGTTGGAGGACATGTTAGGAGGACAACAATATTTAAGCCTCAAATGTTTTACTCTCATCTCCACTAACTGTTTTTACGGAAAAAGTTAAAAACTCTATTGTAGTTACTATAAGTTCACTTATTTATACTTTTAAATTAGGCTTTTCATACTTATTTATTTAATTTTTTTAACATTTGCTTTTAATGTTTGTTTCTAAATATAGAAATTGTATGAGTATTTAAAAATCAAATCCTTAGGATGATAGATATATTTTTAAACATTCACCTCATTAACAAATAGATCTTTGAATTTTTATTAGGTTTTTTGGCTCCAGTCAACTCTAGCTTTAATGATATTTCTGAATTCCCAGTGACTTATTAATAAAAGCAGGAAAAATATTCAGATAATGTCATAAAATTTATTTTACCTTCCTCATTTCCTGAGAAAATAAATAAATGAACAAAACCCGGATATTGCTTTATTACCAGCAGTGTATAGGTTTTTGTATGTTTGGAAATTTGGCACAAAAAATAGGGAATTAGTACAGAGAAATTTCCTTCTTATAAAAGGAAATTTCCCCATTTGATTGTTCAAAACTATGAAATGCACTTTTACTTTGCCATGTGTGAAATGACAAAATACCCCCCTTTGGAAAACCTGACTCTTTGCACGTGTAATCCCCAGAGTCTACCTCAGTTAACCAGGCTTGGTTTTAGGCAGGAATGAATTGAATTAAATTCAGTTCATCATCTATGCAGATTTGTTTCTTTAAGCTCGTTCTTCCCTTCTGCTGTTTCCCTCCTCCCATTAACCTTTCTTTTTAATCTTAAAATTGTTTAAAATATTTTGTCTTTCTTTCTCTAGCAAAGCATTATATTCCAAATTAAGCCTGTGTGAAATGTCTGAATTACTTTTCTCT